TCCTGCTTGCCTGCCATGTTCAGTTGGCGCACACACAAACACACACATACAGTCTCTGCTCTGACACATGGGCTGTGTGTGTGTGTGTGTGTGTGTGTGTGGAGGGGCTGGGCCCCCTCCAAGGCCTGCCCTGCCCTGAGTGGAAGGAAAGAAGCATTCTGTCGCCAGGTGCTTCTTGCTCCCCACTGCCCGCATGGAGGAGGTGCTCAGGGGCCATCTTCCCAACTGGTGACCCCCACCTGCTGCTCCCTTCCCCAGGAATTCAGACTATGTCCGCTTCGGTCCAGAGAGCCGTGGCTGTGTCGTCTGGGGATGTCCCAGGAGCCTGCGGGGCTGTGGAGGGGATCCTCATCCAGCAGGTGTTTGAGTCAGGTAGACGGTGCTGGCCCCTGAGATCCGCGTCCCCCCTTAACTCTCTGGTGGCTTCAGAGCAGACAGGACCATGGACAAGGCAGCCAGTGTCCTCCGAGTGGTTCTGGCTCCGGGAGGGTGGGCGGCACGAGGGCTCCCCGAGGTGGTGGTGGGGGGCTCCTGAACAAGCAGGCCAGGGGACGTCTGAGAGGCCAGCGGCCCAGGGCCACACCCTGGATCACCTCCGTCCACTTGGACGGGCTTCTTCAGGATCACGGGCTCACCTTGAACGTCCTCAGCGTACAAGTCTGAGGCCTGTGGGAGGCCTGTGCTGCTCAGACCTCCGGGGAGGGGGCTGCTAGCCTGCAGAACCCCTTCTCTGCACCCCCTTACTCCATCCGCTGTGCGGGCACCAGCTGGGTCACAGAGGACAGCCCGGCCCAGCTGGCCCCTCGGAGCTGCTGGGGCCCTGGTCTCACTGGGGAGGGACCCAAGGACCCTGCAGTGGTTTCTTGGGGCTGTTAGGCCACATTACCACTAACTGGGTGGCGTAAAGCAACAGAAACTCCAAAATCTCGGTGTCTGCAAAGCCACTCTCGAGGAGGCTCAGGGCAGAAGCTGTCCTGCCTCCCCCAGATCCTCATTCCCTGGTTCCCTGGTTTCCTGGTTTCTTGGTTTCCTGGTTCCCTGGTTCCCTGGCTTGGAGTCCAGTCACTCCAGCCTCTGCCTCTGTCATCATGGGGCCTCCTCCCTGTCTCTCTGTGTCCTCTCCTCTTCTCACAAGGACACCGGTCATTGGACATAGGGTCCAGTGCAAGCTCATTGTAACTAATTACATCTGCGAGGACCCTACTTTCAAATAAGGTCCCGCACCCACATTCCAGGTGGACATGGATTTGGGGGACACACAATACAGTTCCCAGCAGAGAACCCTCCTGACTGGGGCGGGTGGGGGAGAAGGAGCATCCAGCTGCAGAGCTCCCGGCCTCTCTGCCGCCTGCTGGCCACTGGCCTGGGCAGGCAGCCGGCCAGTCAGCCTCTCCTCCCAGGTGGCACCCAGAAGTGCATCCAGGTTGGCGGTGTTTACACTCCCAGCAAGTATGAAGACCCCGGCGGGGGGAAGAGCAAAGCCCGCAGCGGCAGCGGCCTGAAGACCCTGGTCCGAGCAAAGGGTCCCCAGGTTGCTGCCCCTGTAAGTGCAGCCACGTGGTTCTTTGGTGCCCACCTCCAGTACACACAGTGGCTGCAGGGGCTCCCTGCCCGGACTGTCTCCCCTGTTGGTGACCCTGTCTTCTCCCTGGCAGGCTGCAGAGGACCCGCGAGCAGGCCAGCAGGACAGGGTCCCGGCCCCCCTTCCCCTCCCCCTCTCCAGCGAGCCCCAGCTCCACCAGGTAACTCCCAGACGTGGGGGTGGGGGGGGTTCCCTCATCCCCATGACACCAGGGCTTGCCACTTGTCCAGGGCACTCACTCAGTGACTGCAGGACAGGCGTACACCCCTGTTCACGGGGGCAGGTCTTTTTTTCAATAGTATCTTTTTTTCTGATAACACACAATTGTATAAAGAAAAATAAGTCGGAGAAAGTGCGTCTTGCCGGGCTTTTAAAAATGTTTGGTCCAGATGCCAGCTGTCCCTGCCCCGTGGATGGTGGCTGCCCTGCTGGGAGCCAGGAACCCGAGTGCCAAGCACACCCTTGGGCTCCCGGCAGCGTTTCTTACTGAGGCAGAACTAGTCCCAGACCCCAGCCCCTCCACACCAGGCCCGGTCTGGGCCCCAGGATCCAGCAGGACCCAGCAGGACCCATGCCCGCTCTTGGCTGGCAGGTCTGGGAGGACTGTTACAATGAGTGTGCTCATTGCTGTGCATGGCTGCCAGCCTGGCAGTTCAGGGGGCTTTTGGAGGAGGTAGCATCCAGGAGGGCATCATGGGTACATGCAGGCAAGGGCACAAGCAGACTGGAGGCCTCAGGTAGAGGGGACATCAGGTACCCGGGGCGAATAGGAACACCTCTGGGCCTAGCCCTCCTTGCCCTGTGAGGACGGGGCAGCATGGGGGTGGGTGCCTAGGAGAAACCCGGCTTTCTGAAGGTTCTTCCCAAGAGAGATGGACTTGGCAGGTGTGCAGGGACTAGAGTCTCAGAGATGGAAGGGGTCGAGGGCAGGCCCGGGGAGCAGGCATTGGCTAGCAGCGCAGCAGGCCAGGGGACCTGGTGCCCCTGGGGAGCCTGCAGTGCAGCCGTCAGGAGGAGGCTGGGCCCATCCCTGTCCACCAGAGGATGTGGTCTCTTTCCGGTCAGAAGAACGAGGATGAGTGTGCCGTGTGCCGGGACGGCGGGGAGCTCATCTGCTGTGACGGCTGCCCCCGCGCCTTCCACCTGGCCTGCCTGTCCCCACCGCTCCAGGAGATCCCCAGGTGAGCCCGGCATGCTGGTCCCTCCGCGGCACCCGTCCACCCCCATCTGGCTTCACAGCCACCTCCATCCACTGACCCTGAGGCCTCCCCGACGTCCCTCGGTTCCACGGGTGGGGAGTACCCTTGGCTCACGTCACTGGGCAGTGGGGCTGCGGCCTGGGCTGCTCCCACTCCACCTCCCTGCGCGGTCACACCGTCTGGCCAGCACCCAGCCTGGCCAGCAGGGCCCTAAGGGTGGTGAAGCAGAATGGATGGCGGAAGCAAAGAGTGGCCAGCCTGTCCCATCTCACTCCACACTCCCGGGCAAATTCCCACAAGCAGGGACCCTTCCACCCCCAGGTGAAGTCGGGCCACAAAGCTGCACCCCACGGGCTGGTTTACCTCCTGGTGCACCCTCCCCAGCCCACCAGGAGAGCCTTGCCCTCTACCACCCATGATCACAGGTCATGGTGGCCTGCAGGGAGGGCCTAGGAGGAGTTGTCGCCCTGGCTCTGCCCCTGCTCACTGTGTGACCTTGACCGGGTCACCTCTCTCTCTGAGATGCCTCTGCACTAAAACAAGGGGGGTTCGGCCCAGGTCACTGTCCAGCTCCCCCGCCCCAGACACTGACTGTCCGTCATTCTTCCATTCTCTTCCTTCCTGCCCTTAACCATGTGGTGGGTCCAGGGTATAAACACCAGCCCAGGGAGGCCCCACCTGCAGGCCAAGCCCCTGACAACAGGACAGGCGGCTGCAGGTGTGGGTGTGGGGCACTCTTGGGGCTCATTGGAGAAGTACCATGAGGACACTGATCTTGTTGGTGAGGTCCATCCCACCAGAGGCAAATATTGGGCATCCTTGGCTCTCCTGATGACTGGCTGGGTGGGCCCTTCCACTGTGGCTCTGCCCACTTCCTGCCCGGGCCTTGGTTTCCCCATCTGTAAAAGGGAAGGGTGACTTGGACGAGCCCTCAGGCCTCCCTGAGCTTTGGGTTTGGGAAGCTACCGAGCCTTCTCTCTTGCTCTGCATGCCTCTGGCCGGTGACAAAATGAGCAGTGGTACTTGGAGATGCTCCAGCTGCCTCCAGGGAAGAGCCCAGCCAGACCTGCCTGGGGCCAAGGAGCCACCTGCGGAGACCCCGGTAAGCACAGGCCCCCCTGTCCTCCTAGAGTCCCTGCCCACTGGCCACGCCTGGGGTCGGGCCTGCCCAGCCGTTGAACCATGTGCCCTGGCCTGGCCACATCCATTCAACTTTCAATAGTAGGGCCTGAGGGGTGCCAGCTACTGGGCCTCTGCCCTTATAGTGGCCCCGTTTCTCAGTGCTTGAACTGGGGTGCCTCGGCTCTGTCAGCCCAACACGAGGGATGTGCTTTGACCACTGATAATGTTCACCCCAAAATGTTTTAGTGTCTGATGCAGCAAAGACATGAAGGATATGACACATGCCTGGATGTAGGTGGAGTGTTTACCTCGACAGTCCCTGAGGCCTTTGGGCACCCCATCTTTAGATGGGGAAAGGGCAAAGGGTAGAGGACCACAGAGCTGGGACTGCACCCTGGCCTTTCTGACCCATGTGGCGTTCCTTCCACACCAGCCCCAGTTCCCCGCGGCCACTAACTCCCTGGGTGGTGCCGGGCAGGTCCCTGCAGCCCCTCTGAGCCCCGAGCCCCTGGTTCCAGGTCATCCTGGGACTGCGGTCCTCAGGAGAGGAGGTGAAGGGACCGCTCAGGGAGCTCCCCGCTGGTATGGACACTGCTGTCGCCTACAAGCACCTGCTACCCATCCTGGACCCCTCCACCCTCCGCCCCCTACTCAGTGTGGGCCCTGAGGGGCAGCAGGTGAGGGGGCGAGGGCCCTGGGGTCTGGTGTTGCCTTGAGGGGGCTCAGGGCCCGCAGGGCAGCCTGAAGTGGGGGGAAAGTGCCTCACAGGGGGAAAGTGGAGGGGAAAGTGGGCTGGAGTCTAAGGGGGTTAGGAGCCAGGGCTGGGGGCGGGGCTCTGCCAGGGAAGCCGATTGACCACGTGGAGGGCAGGTGGGAAGAAGCTGGAGGAGGCACAGGGGTGGGTGCGGTGGGAGAGCACCCAGAACAGGGGTGGGGCTCTGGAGGGATGCCTTCAGGGGTGAGGCATCCTTATTGTTCCTGAAACACCCAACCCTAAAAGAGGCTGGACGATAAAAGGGGCTGGATGGCACTTGGGGGAGTCCCCATGCACCCCAGCTCCTCAGGCCTCGTTTGGAGAGTGCCATTTCGGAGACCCCTTGGCCAGCCCGGAAGGGGGCCCAGTCCCACCAAGAAGGAGCGAGGCCGGGGCACCTGGTTTCCCCGGGCTGCAGCCAGGCACCCTCCCTCGGGGGCTGGGACCCCAAACCACCCCTCCCCTGCGCGCGCCCCACCCTGCGGTCCAGCCC